TAGCATAATAATTCATATTCACAAACGAAATATATCTTTTTTTTCTAATTTACTTATTTTATTTATCTAAAGGGAATATAATTATTATAATTAATAATGAACATAGTGGTCATTATGAACATAGGGTAGATTATTTTTATAGTTCCACTATTCAAACAAAGCAAATTAATACTCTTATTTAATAACAATATTTTATTTTTTAATAAACTAATTTTAACTTAATATAAGGCATTAGAGTACAATAACAAATATTTATCACAGAAAATCACTGTATTGTTTCTCATACTATTCCCCAAGAAGGTCAATATACTTGTGTTTGCATTTAAACCAATTTTCTAAACACTTTTTCCACTCTAATTGATGTATTTTTGATGTGCTGTAATAAAAAGAAGTCATTGGCTCCCAAATCAGCATTATTTGGCAGGTGACCCATCAAACCGACGTTTTAAGTGCTCAAAAATTCACTTGTTTGACCCGAAGTGTAAGAACTCGCGGTGAAGAATAATCCGTCTTCGGCGATTGGTCTTTCATATTTCTTCACTGACAACTGGCAAACAAACGATTGAGTAAAATTCCGAATTAACCGTTCTACGTTGTTCTAATAGTACTGGCGTGAGCCTTATTTTAGGAGATCGTCAAATTATGTGTGATACAACTCAAACAAATCTATTTGATAACCTGAAATGGTCATGCAATATTGAATGAATGCTAGTACCACTTATGCCCAAAGATGCCTCAATCTCACGATGTTGCAGTATCTGTTCTCGCACAGCATCCATGTTTTCCGGAATAACAACCGACTTTAGATGATCTTCACGACATTCGTCTTTGAGAAAACTACGGCCTCGATTGAATTACGAAAACTATCGATATACACCAGCTTTTGATGAAGCTTCACCGTCAAAAGTCAAATTAAGTTGAGTTAATCCATGTCAAAAGTTGTAAAAATAATCGTACGAAAATGTTCTTACTTAATTCCATTTTTTGATTGAGATGTATTTTTCAAATTATTTTTAAAATGACACAAATAATGCTCGAATGACAAAATGTTTTGAATATGTTTGCCACCAAAAATGTCAAACTATACGATAGAGACGTGAAGTGCCAGATCGCAACATTAGGGTTGCCAAATCCCGAAATTTAAAAGACAACCCTCGTAACTATGTCAAAAATAATTATATAATGTAAAATAACAGTAATATTGACATACTGTACTAATAGAGATTTCTAATTAAGTTATCTAATAAAGATTATCATAATCAAAGTTTGGTGTTTTTAAATAAAAATATTGTGCAATAGTTCGGTATAAATACAGTAGGAATAATAGGAAATATCTATTAACGACCTAACGTTGCAACTACTTCTTTTAATAAAACATAATCGTTCGATTTTCGAAATGGCCAAAATTGTTATTGTCCTTTTCGTCGTGACCATGGCGGTGGCTGCATTGGCTGTTCCAGTCAAAGGTATTATAGTTAAAGAATATTATTACTATTCAAAATTTTGACATTGTGACAGAAAAACTTCCGTATAGAATATTGAACCATGTGGTTTGATATAAATAATTCATTATGTTTTTGATGCTTTCAGAGGAAAACTGGTGTAACCCAAACTTATTTTTTTAAATTTTTTTCTACAACGTGTATTACTTTGAATGACACTAAATTACATAATTATATTAATGTGACAATGCTGACCTTCTTCAGCATCAAATCACCTTTTTATCATCTTCTATCTTTACTGGTTCCTGGCCACTTACATTTTAAATGAATCGTTCTCGAATTCCTTATTCGAATTAGTACTGCCACCTTACCTATGTGCCTATGTGCCTATGTACCTGTGTTCCGGTTTTGAAGGGTAAGAGTGCTGGTAAAATTACAGGCACATGGGACTTGTCAACTTATGTCTCATAGTAACGGGCGCAGTGGCAGTGCCCATCAGGTCTTAACGATTTAAAGCTCTGAGTGGCACTGCCACTGGTATGGACAGTCTTGTAACTTACCATCTTGCTCACGACTTGATCGTCCCGTCACTTGATATTATAAAAAAAATCGTTTTCCTTCATTGTTCTTACGTTGATTTGTTCCAACATCACTCTCCTCAAAATTCTCGGAGCCAGAAGACGTGCTTATTTATCTACGTATAAAACTCAACTTCACTTATTTCGAACTAATTTTAAAGCATCACACTTTCACAAAGCACATTATTAGTGTTTTAAAGGACGACATAACCTTTAGCATCACAAAATGACATTAATCCCGAAATAGTATTTTTGGATTTTAATGTTCACTTACACATCGGTTTCGTTTCAGAACCAGAAGAAGGTGCCGAATATGAAAACGAATTCTTCGACTTTCAACCAGACTCCAGTGTTATTCAAAGCCCTCGTATCACTTGCGATCTTCTGTCTGGCGTCGTCGGTGGGCCTCATACCTTGTGTGCAACCCATTGCATCCTCAAAGGATTCCGGGGTGGCTACTGCAGTGACAAAGGAGTTTGCATTTGTCGTAATTAATTCGCCTATTGTATCTAAAAGTCCAGCCTACGCTGGTAACTTTATAAATGATAAATAGAAACGTATTTCTTAGCTATTTAGAAAGTTCAAAAAGTGTCATCAATTTATAAGACGTAAATACAATAATATTTAAAAATATTCTTAGGAATGCGCTTCAACTTACCACTTAATATTTTAATCATGTAAACAGACCATAAAAGTGAAAAAAGATAATGTTCTCTTCAAAAAAGATTTGTCGTAACTGTCATTTCCGTCACAGATCATATTCTTTGCCTATTCATTGTTATAATGATGTCATAATATATATGTTTCAAATAAATTAATGTTATTCCCATTTGATTTGTTTCTTTTTGTTTGCACTATTTTGCACTACTTCATGTAAATAAATCACAAAGATGGTAAAAAAAGGTATCTTCAAGCGAAAAATGTCGTACCATTGCCATTACAGATTATAAATGTTGTGTACCTTTCTTTGTTGTGTAGTTTTAGTAGTAATATACATTTTGAAATGCACCAGTTTTACGTGTACATATATGTGTTCTTTATTGCACACTGGGACAAATATATATAAACATTAAAAAAAATATGAAGACAGGCACAAGAGGCGGCCTTATTATTAGATAACAATCTCTTACAGGTAACCTTCGGATTACAGGAAAAATTATAAGATAATAATTCTTATTTAATACACATATTGCACTTGCACAAATGGAAAAAAAAGTTAGAATACTAAGATAAATTATAAAATAAATAAATACATGAAAATAAAAAATACATAATTGATAAATAATAATAATATAATTAATAATAATAATTAATAATAAATAATTAATTATAATAATTAATAATAATAATTGCCAAAGTCTAGAGTCCACAGACTTAAGCACCTATGTCAAAATAGCTTAATTTTAAAAAAAAGGCCATTAAAAAAATGGCGGAAGATGTTAAGAATACGATAAGTTTAAAAACGACGCTACTAGAATGTAAGTTGAAACATGCACATGAATTAACTTATGCGCTTTGGTTGTAGTTGGTTGATGTATTGATTTAAACCAATGACATTGTTTTATTTTACTTATGCACACTAGTCTGCTGGCCCTAGAATTACAGGTAAGATTTATTTAATCTTAAAACATAATAATAATAATAATAATAACTACATAACATACACACACAAAAAAATACAATCGAAAGCAAAAGACATTTGAGAATCGTTTACTTAGAAAAACGTCAAGTACCTTTCCAAACGTGAAATTACCACCCACCTGCTTTCTTAACGACCACCTCGGTTCTAAATCTCAATCATTATAATTCTGAACTATTAAAATGTAACATCTAACCGAAAATTATCTAAAAAAAACGAGACTGTCTTATTGTGACTTAATTAGAAAAGAACATAAACTTTTATGATAAATTTTTGAAAACCATACTTACGACATCATGTTAATTTTAAACTCTAATTTAGTTATTTTTTATTACTCCTTTTTTATGATACGGATGTTTATGATTTAGTATATTTTAGGTTGGTTTATGAATAAAATATTAATTAAGGTCTAGTTACCGTAATTAGTGTCGCCTTAATTAAAAAATAAGAAAGAAATATCTTGTTTCATTTATATTTATATATCTTATTAGATATGGTTACCTAAACATTCACAGTCATAGTCAGATTGTTTTTAATAATGCAGACGACACCTGGATGGTGGTAAACAATAAAGTGTCATCCAACATGATTATAGTTTTGCGAAAATGGTACCTAATTAATTTTTCGTTGTTTTACAATTATAATGATGATATGATGAATTTTTACTAAAATTGACTTGCAAATTTTTTTTTTTATAATATCAAGTGACGGGACGAACAAGTCGTGAGCCAGAAGCTACAAGCCTATCAATAACAGTGGCAGTGCCACTCAGAGCTTTGAATCGTTAAGACCTGATGGGCACTACCGCTGCGCCCGTTACCATTAGACATAAGTTGACAAGTCCCATGTGCCTCGAATTTCACCAGCACCCTTACCCTTCAAAACCGGAAGACAGTAATATGAACATTACAGCTTAGCGGCAGAAATAGATAAGATGGCAGTAATTTCCTGGACAAACTCTTTCACAAGGAGCTCTACTAAACCTGGGATCTCAGAGATACACCATGAAAACCGGAACATGAAAATCTGGAATTAAAGATATTACAGTTTGAAGTTTTGGAGGTTCAATGAATCAATCAGCCTATTGCAGTCCACTGCTGGACATAAGCCTCCCCAAGTGCACGCCATAGTGCCCGATCACCCGTTTTCCGCATGCAACCACTACCCGCAACCTTCTTCAGATCGTCGGTCCATCTTGCAAGGGGACGTCCTACGTTACGATTGCCGAGACGTGGTATCCACTCGAGAACCCGTCTACTCCATCGCTCATCGGTTCTGCGACAGATGTGGCCAGCACACTGCCACTTCAGCTTCCTACATTTCTGGACGATGTCCACAACTTTAGTCTTATGCCGGATAACTTCGTTCTGGACTTTGTCCCTTAATGAGATACCCAACATAGACCTTTCCATAGCTCGCTGAGCGACGTGTAGTCTGTGAGCCAGTTTGACCGCCATATTCCACGTCTCGGCTCCGTAAGTCATGACCGGGTAGGACGCATTGGTTGTAGACCCTGGTCTTCAGGCACTGCAAGAGTGGTGACGAGAAGACATGACGCAGTTTCCCAATTGCTACCCAACCCAGCTGCACTCTCCTAGCTATTTCACGCTCGAAGTTGTCTCTGCCTAGTTGCAGGGTTTGCCCGAGGTAGACATATTCTCGGACAACTACTAGCGTTTCGCCATTAATGGAGACCGGCTCCGGGATGACGAGCTCATTGAACAAGACCTTAGTCTTGTCCAAATTCATCCGAAGGCCGACCGATAATGAGGCAGCATTAAGGCTGTTCAACATTTCTGCAGGTCCTGCAGCGATTCTGCCATTGTAACGATGTCGTCGGCAAAGCGAAGGTGTGTGGATTTTCGCCATTGACATAGATGCCCAATCCGGTCCAATCAAGTGTAGTAAGACGTTCTCCAGAGCATTTGAGAACAGTTTCGGATAGATAACATCTCCCTGTCTCACGCCTTTGAGCAACTGGATGGGTCTTGTCTTATGGCTTTGTACTTGGACGGACATCGTGATTTCACAGATTTCAGTACAGATTTCTCAGCACCTTTACGTACCGCCAATCGACTTAGCATCGCTGCAAGGATTCCAGAACAGCCCAGGTTTCGATGGAGTCGAAGGCTTTTGGAGGCTATGTTTTATATAACTGAATAAAATGTATTCGATTAATATTATTATATCAAAATAAACTACAGAAGCTTTAAACAGAGTTAACAAAAGTTTAATGGTGTCGTGGGTTTGTGGGGTGATGAAAGTTCTGAGGAAAACATTTTTTACATAATGGTATGGTCAAAAGGCATGATGTTAAGCCAAAACAAAAGAAAACTGAGTTAATACATTCTAATGAGTGGTAACTCCTTCATTTTTTTCTATCCGCTAAGGGTAACTCGGAAAATCGCATCAAAAATAGTGAGTTAAATCGTCTTTATTTCACAAAAATTCAAATACTTATTGGGTTTTGCTTTGCACCCATCGATGTAATGCAAGTATATTTTCTTGTAAGAAAAATATGTAGACAATATGAGATTCTTATAAGTGGCAAGACAACTATAAGACATTGAAAAATAAACGAACTCCTGTGAAGGATTTCAGAATATTATTAAATGAATTACTTAACAAATTATTGCTTCATTATTGCATTACGCAAACTTCATCATCAACCCATTTATATGTCCCACTGCTGGGCACAGGTCTCCTTTCAGACGAGGGTTTAGGCCTTAGTCTGCCACGCTGGCCCAATGCGGGTTGGTGACTTCACACGTTTTTCGAGGGTTCTTTTTATGAAATTTAATGACAAACATGGTATTAACACGAAGAATAAAAATAATCAGGCTGTTGTTGACAGTCCGATATTCTTTACAAAGTCACAAATAAATTTAAGGGGCTATGTATACGCTTCTTTAATAAAACTCCAGTTAATATTCAAAATTGGCCATTTATAAACTATATAGAAACAAAAACTGTTTACAAACTTATAAAGGGTTAATTTAACCAAAGCAGTTTTTTACCACACTTGTTAATTTAAATTCATCTCAAATAATCTTTATTTCGTATATTGTACTCTTTCTAAATAAAAATTTGTATACATTTATCATTTACAACATTTATCTCAAATATTGAACAACTTGTAAGAGCTAAACACGTCTCTACAATGAATCCAATTACGCACAAGCTGTACATCAAACCTTTGGTGTACAATTTTTGTAGCTATATAGTTTTTAAATGACCAAAATTTGAATATTGACCGGAGTTTTATTAAAGAAGCGTATACATAGCCCCTTAAATTTATTTGTGACTTTGTAAAGAACATCGGACTGTCAACAACAGCCAGATTATGTTTATTCTTCGTATTAATACCATGTTTATCACTAAATTTCATTTTAAAAAAACTTATATTCTTATGACAAATCAAATTTTCATAAATGTACTGTGTAAGAATGTTAAAAATAATATTGAATATAATATAAATAAAGTTAATCCTAACTACGCTTGTTAGACTCAAAAGGGGAAAAAATGTATATGAATTTGCTTATAAGAAGCCCATATTTAAGTAGGCAATTAATTTATTGTTTAACGAACATTCAGTCGATTTAGACATTTAACAACAACTTAAAAGTTACACAGCCTTGTCCAGTTTGTATCCTTATCCACAAATTATTTTCTTATTTAACACATTCATCTATTTAAACAATTAGGCGTCCAATATTGCCCCTACAATCGGTATATACTGATAAGGAAGTATTCACCATCAAACATCAGCAGTTACTAAAAAATTTAATACCACGGTTTCCTTACAAAATATCTTCCAAATATGATCGTAAAACTTCGCACCCCTAGGGTGGATATTATTCATTTTTCTCCGAGTCAAACCCAGTGGAGTCACTAATGTCCTACTTCAGTCAACCCCTACGTATTTTTTCGCGACCATGTTTTTCCCTACACTTTTTGTTTGTCTACCATCTCTTTCCCACTTTTAGAATTTTGTATTTGGCGTCTCAATCGCCTTATCACAACGAAGTTTGGGGTGGCGGCAAAATATGATACGTTTTTTGGGAGTTAAATTGATTTTTTCGGAAGTGTGTGGCCGCCATTTTATGGCGGTTTGAATTTGGAACATTAGAACTTATTATGACTTTTCC